ACAAATCACTGACTACTGATGACACACGGAAGCTGACATCCGTTCCCCCTATGTCCCCACGCTCCGTGGCATGTTTTTTATTCCTTTTTTTGGGATATTCCTCTCTTTCTCCTCTCCTGTTCGGCATAGATCTAACTAGTTTTTTTCCAACGATCTGGGTGTTTTTAGGGGGTACAGTGAGCTTGCTTCTCCACAGAAAAAACAATGTTCACATAAATTAAACGGCCTAGTACACTAACTATCCCTAAGATATTTGGGTTCTTCTTCAGAAAGTTCTTCAGTCTTTCTTTCTCTTTTGTAAAAGTCGCTGAATATGGTCTTTGGAACAATATGTACTCATACAGTTCTTGTGACACAGTATAAACTCAGCATCTTCTGGAGGTCTCTGAGTTCATAATCTCGTTGCCAACTTGCTTCCTGAAAACAACTAATCCGTCTCGATTTGATCAGAGGTGGGTTCTTTCTTCGACAGCAAAAACACTCCATGTCTAAGAGAGAGAGAGAGAGAGAGAGAGAGAGAGAGAGAGAGAGAGAGAGAGAGAAAGAGAGAGAGAGAATCGCATCAGTATGTGTATTAAAATTAAAGTCAGTGAGTGAGATACTGTGTGTGCTTGTGTATGTGGCATGAACCAGCTTAATTGCTTTACGTCCTTGTGATTACGTAGTGTTATTCTACTTTCTTTGATTCTACGCAGCGACAGACCTACGTGCATACTGATGAAGAACGTAGGGGCGGAACGCTCCCGTCGTTATAAGCCATTAGATCTTGATCTAGGGTGTGGTTGATTCTTTAATATCAAAATATGCCATTCATCTCCCTCCTACCTCATAAATATATCCTCTCTTTCTACTCTCCCCCCTTCCCCACCCGAATGAATCATTTAGACCTATTCTCAAAACACAATGTAGCTTTATTAAATAGTTCAGGAAACGTGATGCATATGTTCGTGGATATCTGGCACTGGAGACAGTTCTCAATTACATTTACTTACTAATTCAATAGTATCAGTAAATTTTACAAATACTTCAGTGTTTATGGCGGTTCGGTGTTGAAGAAAGGAACACTTGTTTTTTTGTTTTCAGGCCATCAACGCATCGTGCAACCTTCTGTGGTGATACTGTAATCAAGTGCTGTATCAAGAATCGAGTCCAGAACCGATCCCCGCGATTATTGCTTCTGAGAAAAAGAACCGATCCCTTTTTCCCTAAACTAACGATTCTCAATTACTTCATTATTATCTTAATTTTCTATTAGGAATGTATTTTTGAAAAGAAAAATGTTGGCACTTTGCTTTGTTCTGAAATTGAAGTTATCCTAAATCTTGAAAACTTAAAAAAGAGTAATCGGGATGTCAAAGATTATATCGATCTAGTATACACAGTGTCAAAACGTATTCGTTGCTTTCGCCTTTTTTCTCTTTCATCTGTTGTTGTTTTTATATTCTCTCTTTTTTTTAAATTCAAAACCTAAAACTGTAGCTTCTGTCCTCGAGGCTCTATATTATATGCTCTCATTTCTCTGTGTAGGTCAGTGTTGGTTCTGATATTTCACACTGCATAGATTGGGCGGGGTAGCGCCCTCCCACCTCAAGTAATCAAAGGGGTCGGACTACTCGTTACTCGCCGGAAGTAATTGCAGGGGTCGGACTAACTGCTAATCGCTGCATGTATAATCATGATACTGGCTAGGGGTCAAAACTACTGGAAGAAATCATGGAGCCACTGGAAGAAATCACATCACTGGCTGTAATGAAAATAATTGGGTTCGGAACCGATTCCTACGATTCCTAGCTTTTAATAATCGGGAATGTTCAGTTACTGAAAAAAGAACGGAATCTCCCACCTCTAAGTGACCATCAACTCGGTCGAACTTTTGTTTTTAGTACTCGGAAGTGTGTTAGTGTGGTGTGACGAAGCACTCTCTGCCAATGTCTCCTTGCTTTGCAAACTGAGTCCATATCACGAGGGGGG